ATCAAGAGTTGCGATAATAATAATAATAATAATAATAATAATTTTTTAAATTATGATTTAAATTATTTTTAAATAAAAACATTAATAATTCAAAAACTATGGACAAAAAATGAACAAAATGTATTTTTAAGTAATAATACTAAATACAATAAGCACTGTTTATACATTTCTCAAGGTACTGGATGAAAACGACAACTAAAGTCAAGATGTCTTCAAGATGTAAACAAGATGGCAGAAGGTTTTTTTTTTTTTTTGACAAACTTATAGCATTACAGTGTTTAACAAATGATTTTAATGTTTATCTTTTACAAAAAATTTACACCTTTACAAATCCATAACAAATTTAATAAAATAAGAACGTTTTTGATAAGTTTCACTGACCTTCTTCAGTTACAATGAAATGGAAAAATAAAAGAAAGTAATACAAATTTTAAAATGTAAGTACATAATAAGAAAGTGGCAGGTGCTAATAATGTTGCAACAGTATATCAATGCAACCCAACAATCTTCAAAATTCTAAAGAATGATAAAAAACCATATAATCATAATTTGATCACACGGATTTACTCCATCCTGATAAATGATCAATGTTTCAAAACTGATCTATGTAGGTGCCACTGGATGTAATTTGCAACAACAACTCAAGGAGCAAGTAAGCAATTGAAAAAAAAATCTTGATAATACAACATTGGCAGCTTACTCACAACATCAAGACATACAAGTAAACTGGGAGCAAGCTACCATCATCAGACCCACAGCTAATATGCACACTATAGGATATCTAGAAAAATTAGAAATTTATAAGGCTCATAAAAAATCCAGGTGCAGCAACCATAGAGACGTGGACAATTTGTCTACCGCATGGTGGTCCATTTACAAAATTTAATTCTTTTATTAATGAATAGTTCAAAATTGAATTCATTTATTACCTACGATTTTAAAAGTTCATAAAAAAATTAACAAAATCGATTTTCAAAATTCTGAACTGTAAATTAATAAANCAATATCATATTATACAAAATAACACCAAATACATTTTTATGATAAGTATTCTATCAATACTTAGAAATTCTTACAATTTCTGTCAGTTTTATCTAATATTTTTATTTACATGTATATTTTTTATAAACTATTCTTAGCACTGTTATCAACTTTAAAAAATAAGAAATAACCAGATCATCTTTAGCAATTTTTTCAACCTGTTGCTCTTTCATTACCTGTAATAAATTAAAATAAGTTTGAAAAGTAAGTTAATTCTTTTCAAACCTTTTTATACCATTCTTTGTTAAGTTTAACAATTAAACAATTTATTAAGAAGAAAATTAAAGTCTTCTTTACAAGAGTTTAAATTTAAGATTATATGCAATTTTAGATTTAAAAATATAATTAGGCTCCTGTAAAAGAAGGTGTTTAGTTTGCTTATAACTAGAAAAGAAATCAAGAATTGAATTTTGTAGTGCAAATTAAATAATTTGAAAGAATTAAATTAAATTTTAGAAAAATGTGATGATTCAGAATACAATTTGAATTTGCACTTTTGAAATATGACATTAAGCAATATGCCTAATATCATTATCATTATATCAATATTACAAATGCTTGCAATACAAAGTTCATTTAGTTAATAACAAAACCAGAATATAAAATTCATATTTAGCAATATTCAAGTATATTTATACATTGATAATAAATGAATATTGTTGCTATTTAAAGATACAGTATATTATTCTATATTCTAAATTTTATGGAAATCAATTATATCATATAAATATTTCATGTGTAATAAAAATTACTATCTTATAATAATAATAATAATAATAATAATAATAATAATTTTTTAAATTATGATTTAAATTATTTTTAAATAAAAACATTAATAATTCAAAAACTATGGACAAAAAATGAACAAAATGTATTTTTAAGTAATAATACTAAATACAATAAGCACTGTTTATACATTTCTCAAGGTACTGGATGAAAACGACAACTAAAGTCAAGATGTCTTCAAGATGTAAACAAGATGGCAGAAGGTTTTTTTTTTTTTTTGACAAACTTATAGCATTACAGTGTTTAACAAATGATTTTAATGTTTATCTTTTACAAAAAATTTACACCTTTACAAATCCATAACAAATTTAATAAAATAAGAACGTTTTTGATAAGTTTCACTGACCTTCTTCAGTTACAATGAAATGGAAAAATAAAAGAAAGTAATACAAATTTTAAAATGTAAGTACATAATAAGAAAGTGGCAGGTGCTAATAATGTTGCAACAGTATATCAATGCAACCCAACAATCTTCAAAATTCTAAAGAATGATAAAAAACCATATAATCGTAATTTGATCACACGGATTTACTCCATCCTGATAAATGATCAATGTTTCAAAACTGATCTATGTAGGTGCCACTGGATGTAATTTGCAACAACAACTCAAGGAGCAAGTAAGCAATTGAAAAAAAAATCTTGATAATACAACATTGGCAGCTTACTCACAACATCAAGACATACAAGTAAACTGGGAGCAAGCTACCATCATCAGACCCACAGCTAATATGCACACTATAGGATATCTAGAAAAATTAGAAATTTATAAGGCTCATAAAAAATCCAGGTGCAGCAACCATAGAGACGTGGACAATTTGTCTACCGCATGGTGGTCCATTTACAAAATTTAATTCTTTTATTAATGAATATTTATTCATTTATTTTTTGTTTTTTATTTTATTAATTTCAACTGCACTTTCTGTTATTTATTTATAATTTTAAAATAACATTCTTGTATTCAAATTCTTGTTCTTTTACAATTGTACTTACATTTTTTAAATTTGTATTTATGTGTGAGTAAAATTTTCATTAAGTCCTACCCTACTTGAGATATGAACATGATCCCCCTTTACCTTTAATTACCAAAATTTAATAGTATCAATACCCTTACATACATGTTACTATGCTAAATTTTGCTTCTTTATCTCATCCTGGGATATCCTGGGATATTTAAAAAAAAATAGGTAGGTCAAATGTGACATGATTACAATATAATGTTATAATGGCTGTGAAAGTAATCTGTGTTATGTTATAACAGGCTATGTGCATATCTATAAGATAATAATTTACATAAAGAAAATAATCTGTGGACAGACAGAGAGAAGGTAATAAGTAGAGATAGCATCATTAATAAATTTTAAAAAATCCTGAAATTTTCCACAGATTAGTGAAGATCTTTGGACCACTACTTGAATAGCGTTGATGTACAGTACTTATTAATAAATTATCAATAATACTATAATAACTGTGCTAAACATACTGTACGTTTAAAAAATATGTTTAGCACAATTAGTAAGTTCATTACAGTAAAATCACTGTTTAATAGCTACAATACTTTTATGAAATTTAAAACATATATATGGAAAGTTTTGCAAAAAATGTTTTTTAAAAAGAGTGATAATTATACTTGAATATTTTTAGATATATAATATGTTAACAAATAAAATGTAGAATAATTAAAAATAATTTATATTCATGACTCATTAATTTTCATTTAAGAAAAATAAACAAAAACAGAAAAGAGTATAAAATAAAATGTTACAAGATTTAAACTCACTTTTGTTAACTCTTTTTCTCTCATTTCTAGCATACTTTCTAAATGGCGAGAGTGGCCTTCAGTTTCAATTAGTTTTGTTTTGAGTCGTTCCATTTCAATTCTTTCTTCTTCTAGCATTTTGCTTCCTCCAAAATAAAGTAAACAAAAAATTAATATATAAAATAAAAAATTATGATTTTTTTGTTTTCTTGAAATGTAACTGAAAAATACTTTATACAACCATATTAAGGGAAAAAAGACTAACAATGCTAAAAGGCTTTCAAGAATCAATTATTCACTGAGATTAAATACTTTTCAGAACTTTAATATCCTATCTTCAGATTCCTCAAATAGAACATACAGAGAACACAATGCTCAAATAAAAAACAAATACAAACTTTTAAATAAAGCATCTGTAAATCAGTAAATGAAAGTAATATATAGGTAGTAACAGATAACAGATAAAATATTAATTAATAACAGATAATTTTAACTTAAAAACTTAATTTACATAAATTTTTAAAAACAAATTAATATATTTTTAAGATCAGTTTCCAATATGCTTGCTTTCTTCAATTGTCCTCCTTGTGAAGACCATCTGTTGAAGCATTTTTCTTTTGTCAACATTCATCTTTGAAGTAAATTTTGCCATTGGGTATTATTACTACTTCTTAAATGAAATAGAATAGTCTGTGAGCATTTATCTTGATTCTCCAGATGTATTCTTTTTCCAGTGAGCTTGAGAAAACCTGATGGATAATTTATTTCTCCTGTTTTGTGACTTCAGTTTCATATTCTCAAATAACCTTTCTTTACATATTTACAGATTTTTAAATAACATGTCAAATTTTAAGATATTTCTGCAAAACACACAATCCTTACAGAATAATTATTTTTTTTTGCACTCTATTATAAATGATGATTATGACATTTTTTTATAATCACTGAGTTGGTTATCTCTCAATTCAATAGATATCAATTGCATACAATTGTATAGTTTTATTAGCTTTTCTATCCATCAGGTTGGGCAATGCAGCAGTGGTATTTTAGTTTTTCTTAAATTCTATTTTGTTTAAAAAATTTTTGAATACAATGACTCCATCTTAGCCTTTGAAATACCAAAATTATCTATAACTTGTATTAATCTACACTCTTCACCATCTTCATGAGAATATATATATAGTCGACCCCCTTATAACACGGGTTCATATAATGCGAATTTGTACATCGCGGCAAAAAAATTGTAACAGTATTCATATAAAGATGCTAAAAGGGACTCGTAAAATGCAGTAAAACATCATTGCTGACTCGTGTCGCGACAGGATTGGTCAAATCTGGACCAATAGTGGACAAGCAGCCAAACTACTTACACGCTACAGAGAGTTTAGGCGGGTAAGTTAAGTTTACTATTGTCTGTACAGTATATAAATTAGGTACTGTAAATCTAATACAGTACTGTAATTTTATACATTTCTTGTGAAAAACATTTCTTATTCAACGGCCATTAAAATTATTTCTATTAATGATGTCTCCAAAGTTCAGCAAATTTTTTGAAGAAAAATAACTTATCAGAAATCACGGCCGCCATTTGGTGCGCTGCTCCGCGACGAAAACAAGCTTAAGCAATGGCATCATCGAACGGTGCACACTCGGTAAGTAATCCTACAATTTTTTGTTTATAACATAATTTATACAGATTATTCCCAAAAAATTACAGTGGGTGATCGGTTAACGAACATAATCCGTTCCAAGACTTTGTTCGCTATCCGAATTGTTCGTTAACCGATTATCAATTTACCATAGGTTTTAATGGGAATTTAATTAATTCGTTCTGGAGACCGCCAAAAATAAAAAAATATATACTTTCTTACTATGTTTATTTATACGTAATAATAAAAATACATACATGCACAGTCTTGCGTTTTTATTAGTCATGTTTTTTCCGTTTGAAAGGGTTAAAGAATCTGTCTAATGTCGATTGCTTTTCTCTCTTCTTCAGGATTTTTCGTAAGTAATTAATAGGATTGCAATTGTAGAAATCCCCAAGCCTCAACCTGGTTTGGATGCCATTCTAAGACCGTTGTTCTGACATCCTCCCACTTCTTCAAAGGATCTTTAATAACAGATATCGGCATTAATCCTCTTTTTCAGAAGAAAACATATCTCGCCGAGTTTCTTGGTGTTCTTCATTCAAGAGTTCTTGGCGTTCTTCTGTCGTCAGATCCGTTTCAGGTTCCATTATGAACTCTTCGATGTTCTTTATTTCTCAGATGTGATTTTTGTTACTCCTTTAGCTGCTTGAGTCTTCTTGATTATACAGTATTTTTCTTAAATAAGATTGAACTGCGGCCTACTGTAGACCTGTTCACGCCATACTGCCCAGCAACATTAGGCATCTTCTGCCCACTCTCTACCTTTGCTATTATACTCTCACCTTTCGAAAAGAAAAACAGACGCAAAACTTAACGAGTGCCTACCCGACAGTCTCGCGAATACATAAAAGAATTGTTTTGTCAGAAAAATAAAAGGCTGGAATTACAAGGGAGAGTTTCAAAGTTCGGAGGAATACTATCCGATCGGTATATACCGGCTTGAGCGTCGATGTCGACGTCTCCCACACTCCGAAAAGTTTCGAATTGTTGCCTGAAGACAAGAGAAGACCAATTGGTATTCATTATTTTACGTTGCTTCTTCTTGTGTTCGTTCTGTGCAGTGTTCGTTATCCGATCATGTGTTCGTTGTCCGAACATAAAAATCTTTTGCAAAAGTGTTCGTTATCCGATCTGTTCGTTAACCGATCACCCACTGTATATGTGTTTTGGAAATGTTGAGTCAAATTAGTCTAGAATCAATTAATTTTATGGAAGAAAACCTTTCAAACAGCCATAGTCCATAAACTGCACACATGTCGGACTGTGATTGGCTCATGTATTTAAGGATTCCTACAACGTGAAATTCTTATAAAGTGGAACGTATCTACTGCATTATAGGGGGGTCCCCCCTATAATGCAATAGATACGTTCCACTTTATAAGAACGCATTATAGGGGGTCCCCCCTATAATGCGTTTTTGTTTTGTTTTATATCATATTTGTATTCGTTTTTTATATTTGTTTTATATCATTTTCTTTATTCTTACAGTAAATATTTTATTTATAGAATTTTATTGTGTGATGATTTTAATGTGTCCAATATTTTTTGGAATAAATTTTAAATCATATTTTTATCAGTTAGATTATTCTGAACCCTGAATAATAAACTTCATTAATAAAAAAATTTGTGAAATTTATTACTTTTTAATTTTAAGCAGCACATTAATTTTCCTACCCATGTTAATTCATTCTTTGATCTTACTTTTTCTATTAGTAAATAGAATGTTTGATGTTTCCTGCCACTCTAGTTGATGGCTTTAGATCTGACCATGGTGCTGTCTCTGTTTAGAATTAACATCAGTGAAAAGTTCAGGTCCACAATATTTTCTCATACCAATGGCCCCACTTAAAACTAAATTGGAAGGGCATGTCTAAATTATTGTGTTCATTATTTTGTCATTTTTGAAAAGCTCCACTGTACTACCTAAGTGAAAATTAATTATTATTTACAGTTATTTTGAAAGTGATATTGAAGGCTTGTGTTCCAAAGAAAAGAACTGTTTTAAATTCAAACCATTGGTTCACACCTGAATTAAAAACCTTATGAAATCATAACAGGAAGTTTTTGCATCTGTGGAAAACTGTCAATTTCAGTTCCTGTAAATTCACAGAATAATTCAAAAGAAACTTTATTTTGTTTTTATATTTTAAATAATTGTTAAATTTTATAAATTAACAATTATTAGTTTATTTTAAATTTGTTGTCAATAAGTTTTACATGACCCCAATCATTCAAGTTTTTGAAAAACATTAATTAATTAAAAGGACTTCTGTGAATATACCAGACTCCAACATTTGTAATATCTACTGATATGGAAAATTTGCTTATATATATTACTCTATTAAAACATTTTATTGTGTATAGTAAATTTATTTCAGTTAGCTTTCGATTTTCTACAATTCTATTTTTAAATTGGAAAATTTACTTTTATATTTAAACAATATAAGAATCAATTCTTTTTTATGCAATATTCTTAGTTTTAGTTACTTTAGTTGAATTTTTATATCATTACTACAGAAATAGCTAAAATGAATTTTGAAACTTACCAATTCCTTTGTTCTGTAACATTTCCATGAGCTTTTTAATACTTTCATCCCGAGCAATAAGAGTTTGCTTTTGAGTTTCAATTCTCATTTCTAATTCCTGATGAAACAAAGATTTCATACTTAAGTGAATTGAAATTACATATTATACATAAAGTATATACAAAATTTTATGCAGTAACTTAACTATAATAATAAATAATAATTAAAATTAAATTTATTAAATTTTTCTGTAAGAAGCAATAATGAAGTAAAACTATGATTACAGTTTAGTGATCTGAGAAAAACAAACAGAACAATTGCTCTAAATCATATTCTGTTGATATTTTTAATTTAAAACTTGTATCATATTCATTTACATATAGATGTGTAGAACAACAACACAGAAATATTTTTTTATGTTGAAAATATTCACAAACTTTCTACAGCATACTGCACTCAATTACAACTATGCTTTAAATATTTATTTTTCAATTACAGTAGAGCCTCGATTATCCGACTCAATTGGGAACTGGGGTTGGTCGGATAATTGAAAAGTCAGATAACCGAAAAGTATGAAAAAATCCATTATTAGTGTAGTATATTATTATATCCCATGTAATTAGTATATCGCTATTAACCNCAGAACAATTGCTCTAAATCATATTCTGTTGATATTTTTAATTTAAAACTTGTATCATATTCATTTACATATAGATGTGTAGAACAACAACACAGAAATATTTTTTTATGTTGAAAATATTCACAAACTTTCTACAGCATACTGCACTCAATTACAACTATGCTTTAAATATTTATTTTTCAATTACAGTAGAGCCTCGATTATCCGACTCAATTGGGAACTGGGGTTGGTCGGATAATTGAAAAGTCAGATAACCGAAAAGTATGAAAATTATAAAATTAAGCCTCGTTTAAATACTGGCTCCCTTTCATGGTTGAATGAGTGTTGCCAGCTAAAACACGTAAAAATAATATTAAAGTAGGCAAGACATAGCCAAATATTGTAGCGCCACATCACTAGCAAACATTTGAAATTTGCCGACTAGGACGGTCGGTTAACTGAGGTGTCGGTTAATCGGGGGTCGGATAATCGAGGCTCTACTGTATATCTAAAACTTTTTTGAAACTTTTAATTTCATATTTCAGAATTTTATGTATTTAATATACAGGATATCCAAAAGTAAATTATCCAAGCTATATTTTAAGATTATTTCAAGAAATGTTAAAACTAATTTAGTACAGCTGCATGTATTTTCATTCATGATTCATTTGCAGTAACTTAATCATAAAATTACACAGTTTTTCCAAACCAATCTTTTTCAGTTGACTGACTTTTAGACTACCATGCATTATATTAACTTTACATTTTATTTCTCCTGCTATTAGATACTCTAACTGTTTTATCAGGGGTCGGTCTGGAAAATTTTAAAATATTGCCAACCATTATGCCAGTTTTTTATTTTATTCCCCATTTCAAATCATTTATTGCCACTAGTTTTATGTACTAATTAATGCAGGTGCTGACAGACTTATCAGTTTGGTCTGGAAAGCAAAAGTAACATGTTATGCTGTTACTTACAAGAGAAGGGTCAGATGTTTGGTTCTCCAATTCGAACAAAATTTAATGAGAATGTAGCCTTAAACACAATCAACTCCTTGTCTAAATAATAAGACCCACTTGTCAAACATTTCCAAAAAATGGGCCTCTGAAAATATAGTATTTACAGTACAGTAATATCCCGAACTTACATGATAGGTGGGACCGAGCGATAACCGTGTAAGTCGAATTCGTGTAAGTCGGTATAATTTCGCAATTTATGTAAAATCCAAGTCGAATGTATGTAAACTAATAAATGTTCTCGTTAATCTTATCTCGTCTTTTGATTTGTTCACAGTTACAAGAAATCACCACATAGAGTCTCTCAAGTCTCCGTAGATATAACAAACACAGAAATAAATAACACAAAATAAATTGTAGCTATATGTCAATTCTGCACGACACATCCAAACATGTAAGCTGAACAATAGTGTGGGAGAGTGAGTAATCAAGAGTTGCGTGGTACTCAAACAAAAGACGAAATCGACGAGATTTGAAAATTGCGTAATTCTGGGTTCGCATAAGTTGGGGTAGCATAAGTCAAGGTATTACTGTATTGTGCCAATTTAATGTGAACACAAGTGAAAATTTGAAAAAAAAACCATTTATTGGTTAAAGATGAATAGAATCGAAAAATGAATACAATTTAAATTGTTTTAATATGAAATATGTCCTCCCTTGGCTTTAATAACTTCTTGAACACGTTTTGGCATGGAATCAATAAGTTTTTTACAATTTTCTGTTATTTGCTAGTCTCAAAACCATATCTAAATTACAGCCTCTATCGGTTTTGTTTTTGTTGTGCAATCTATTTTATGAAGTCTAGCATTTACTATTAAGATCTGGTGAATTTCCTGGCCATTTAAGGCATGATATCTTTTTGTCTTTGAAATATTTAATCATGATCTTGGAAATGTGACAAGGAGTTGAGTCTTGTTGAAATAGTGCTTGATCATTGGCATCAACTTTTCCTAGTTCAACTTCCAATCTTTGTTTTAACAAGTCTCTGTATTTTTGAGAGTTCATCATGCCTTTGACCAGCATAAGGGATCCAGTACCTTTATAAGTAAAGCAGACCCAGAACATCTTTAATAGATGTTTAACTGTTTGATCAATATGAGTTGCTGTAAGTTTTTCATTGTCACTTTTTCTAATGTAACAAGATTGCTGTCCTTGTACCAAAAAATGGCTCTCATCTGAAAACAACACTTTCCTCCAATCTTCAACAGTCCAGCACACATATTTTTTTGCCCAATCATATCTTTTTTCATCATGGTAGCAGTCAATAACTGTTTCTTTTGAGGTCTAACCATTTTTCTTCCACTTCTTATAAGTCGTTTTTGTATGGTGGTAGTCATGAACAATAACTCTAGCGTGTGCTAAGTCTTGTTGAAGTTCTTGACTGATTTTCCTAAAGTTTAATTTACTTTCCTTTATTAAAAAAACTTCATCCCTTGCTGTTGTCTTTCTTTTCCTTCCACATTTCCCTTTTCTGTTCACCTCAATCGTCCCAGTGTCCCTTTTTTTGCTTCAAAATCTTGTTTACAGCTCCTAAAATCACATCACACTCCTTGGCAACATCTCTTTGAGTCATTGATTTGTGTTCACTCAAAGTAACAATCTTACTGTGCTTTTTGGGAGTAATATCCATCTTCAAAAAAAANTTTTTTGCTTCAAAATCTTGTTTACAGCTCCTAAAATCACATCACACTCCTTGGCAACATCTCTTTGAGTCATTGATTTGTGTTCACTCAAAGTAACAAGTAACAATGTTAGTGTGCTTTTTGGGATTAATATCAATCAAAAAAAAAAAAAAAAAAGCTAATAAAGCCTCAGTTCAGCTTCACTTCACCAAAAATGCAATAATTCAAAAAAAAAAAAAAAATGTAACATGTCTGTAGCTTGGTATGTCTTATTACTCACTGACTCAGATCAGTAAAACAAAATGACATAAACGTGTTGTCAACTGCAAAAAAAAGCAAAATTGTGTTACTTATCATGTGTTCACATTAATTCGCACTGTACTGTAGCTTGTATTTAATATAATTTTCAGAGACCCAATTTTTTAAAACACTTAAGAAGTAAGTCATATTATTTGGACAAGGAGCTGTTTGTGTTTAAGGCTAGATACTCACCAAGTTTTGTTCGAATTGGAGACCCAAACATTTTGCCCTCTCCTTGATAACAATAGGAATCATTTTTGAATAATTGTTTAATGAATAATTCCAAATAAAACATTTGATCACAATGTTTAAGAAGTATTTCACTGGTTGTCATGTCAAAATTTTTGTTTTTTTTCTAATGAAAAAAAGATCAAAGTAAAGAAAAAGTCACCCCAAAAATTCCCCAAATTTTCTGTCAGTTGATAAAAAAAATCTCCAATCTTTCTTAATCTTCTCACAAAATGGCCTTCTGTTCTCAATGTTACTTCCTACTTTTCTGCCCAAACTTGTCACATAACATCATGACATCTCTAGGTGAATGGGACTCCCATTGCACAGAAGCTGGACTTTTTGCTGTTTTTCCTGAAGTGTGCTTTGTGATTCCATTTCATGCTGAATGTTGAAATAAGCAAACTAGAATTTATATCGAAATAAAAATATCGCCAAGTGGCAATTTTAGCACTATGCAGTACAGCCCCTGCTTTATTAATTTTACTCACATTTTTACTTCAAAAATAATATATTATATACATCTTATTATTTTGCTTTCTGATTCAGCTGAGTATTTTTATGTATAAAGTTTCAAAATATCCTATATAATAAGGTTTCATTTTTTAAGGGTCTTGTAAGGGCCATCCTACTTACAAGATTAATAAATATAAATACATTATTAAAATAAATATAAATACATTATTATATTTATTAAATTAAAAAATTATCACTTGTCAATCAATCAAATGTATATTTATTTTATATATTTGCTAGATCTTTTACTAAAAAACAAAAATATCAATAGTAACAGAAAAATTTACTCCTTAATTGAAAAGCATCAAAACTAAATCAGAATGCTAATGACAGATATTTCCATTTACACCAAAAATAGTTTCATTGTAAAAAATAATATACTATGTACATTTTTTAAAATTATGTGGAAAAAGAGATGTTTATATTAGATGTAGCATTCCTTGCACATATTGCAGAAAAGACATCCACTATAAATACAGCTGAATAAATGCAAGTTAAATATATGATATTTTTGTTTACTTGTTTGCTTTATAAAAAGCAAGCAATGCAATACATCAGTTCAATAGTAAATTGCTCAGTACTATTGATTACAGTTTACCTCCTATAACACTGTTGATAATTCCGTGTTATATGAATTCCATGTTTACGAGTCACATTTTATAAATACATGGGATGTGAACAGCTCATGTATTTGTGAAATCTAAGTGACTTGTACAACGTGGAATTCATATAACACGGAATTATCAACAGTGTTATAGGGGGTCTACTGTAATAGTTATAATAGTTACAATAAATAAAAGATAATAATATAAGAATATCATTGTACTGTATATGTTTACATTACTAAACAAAATTAGTTTCAGCGAAAATACTGTTAGCCAACTTGAAATGAACTATTTGTTTTTTTAGTAATTGCAATGTCACCAGAAGACATTTTAGCAATTTATATTATTGCAGAGACATAATGCAAAAGGTTGTCTCTGTAGACTGTCGCTGGTGATTGTAAAGATGGATGTTTGAAGACTTTTGTATCTTCTGTATTTTTATATTTTATTTAACCATTTAATTGTTACATATAAAATGGTCTATATGCATATAATATAATCTTGAAAAGCTGAAACTCAATTGTGACTTTTTATTAATTTCATAATAATAAATTTCTCATTTTTTGAGATACTGTACAACAGTATCTCAAAAAATTAAATTACAGACTTGTCTTTGGATCAATATCCAAAGACAAGTCTGTAAGAATTTTCTAGTCACTTTTTGTGGAGAAAAATCCATCAGCAGAAGGTGCATTGATTACAATTTACAAGCATGGACATGGTGGGTTACATCTTCAATGAAAACAAAATTGAAAGGTTCCAAACATAATGAGCTCATGCCTTAATGCTGTAGATCAATCAAGTGAATGCTAAACATGGCACAGTAACAGTGCAATCATTAAACAGCAAGCAAGAGAGTTTAGTGAAAGGATGGGAATCACAGAATTTAAATACAGTAGTTGGCTGTTGTTTTAAACAAAAGTGTGATCTTTCTCAGTATGTTAAGGAGTCAGAGTAGTATTTGGCTGTGGACAACAGATGTCCCTAGTTAACATGTTTATCTGTTTGGTTATATGATTGATCTAAACCAGTAGTGCAGAGAGGATGTGGCCATAGCCATAGATGCCAACTGACTGAAGATACTATTTTTATTTTAAATTATTAAATCAATAATAATTACATATACTTCAGAAAAAGTAATATGAGACTCAATATACATATCATTTTCAGACATAAGTCAAACTTTGTTGCTATGTCAATGATTCTAAATTATATGTCTAAAGACTGGAGCAGGTCAGAGTAGAGTAACTGGAAATGATAAGAATAAATTATTGATTCAAATCCCATTTTAGGTTGAGCTTTTCTTCCAAAATATAAATTATTTATTTCATTAAATTTCATTTGCTGCGGTCGGCAACACTGCGCTGACCACCGTCCCCAACCCGTGTGACGTCAGAGGTCGAGGTTCACACTTTTTGGGTCGACGTGCTCAGGTTCGGACGCTCATCCCGTACTCTCCGACCTTTGTCTACAGGATCGGCGTTGTTCTAACCATCTGTACATAGAGTTGTAATTATCGGTAAATAAACTAGTGAATATGACATTCAGATCCTTCTTTCAACCCTAGAATATATAACTCGATGCCACAACGATTCCTTTCGCGGATGCGATCGGATTGAGCGATCTGACTAACTTCAACTATTTAGAGGAACCATTAACGGTCCCCTCACATTTTTAATTATTAATTTCAATACAAGGTGGCTGCTCACCTTAAGACCAAATTTATTAGTTTAGTTATTCTTATAAAATCCAAAAATAACCCAGTTGATTTTGATTTTCAGTGTAATCAAATTAAACTTACTCTTTTTTCCTTTTTCTAGTTTTATAAATTTTATAAAATAAAAATCATCAAGTATTTTATATAAATATTATATAGCTTACTTTAATTGTTTCCCTGAGGAGATAAATTTCTTTAGTCATATGGTCTTTTTCTTGATATAATACTTCTAAATGTTGTTGGACTTCGGCATCAGGGTTTCGCATATGAGAAAGACGTAATTCTTCTTCAAGCTGTCTCATCATTGCTGCTTGTTTCTAAAAATGAAATTAATAAATATATCATTATATTATTTATAAAACTTTTATATTCAAAAAATTAATTGTTATAAATGAATTTTTAATTTAAAAATTTTCTTGTTAAAAAATGACCAATGAAGGATAAAATGAAAACAAACTTTCTTATATATTCTTGTCTATAAAAATTTTTAAAATAATAGATATTAATTTTTTATCTTTCATGATTTTCTATAAATAATTTTAAAATACTTTTTAATAATTTGGTTTTAATTAAAAATATATTTAATTTATTATTAATACTTTTAATCACATTTACTCATGAATTTTTTCTGAAAGATCTACTACAATTACATAAATATTTTCATTAATTAATTAATGATATTTTGAAATATTAAATCATTAGCATAATTTCTTGCAGATAACCCACAGTGGCACATATCTTGTAGAAAATTGCTAGAAAACCACCTCATAACTCACACTATGATATAACCTATACTTCTGAAATGATTATTGAAAGTATAACACCAGTATGAAGTTTAGAATGTATTATCTCATATGTTATTTTAATATGTTTTATTTCTGTTAATAGTTCATTCTAGATATAATTATGAAATAAATAAAATGAAAATCAGAATACTGAGACTAAAACTACTAAACTTCATAAGTCAAAAATATGAAATGGTTACTAAACAACATTTTTTCAGACTGGGCGACAGACAACTGGGCAACAAAATAAGAGATGAACAACAGACAAAATACAGATTTTTTTGTTTTTATAAAAATTGCCATTCTTTTCTATTGATCTACTACATGGTAAATTTAAATAATATTTTTTAAGATACAAGTAAAACAAGTTAAAAGAATGATTTTGTAATTAACAAACATATAACATACCTTATTTATTTATTTATTTTTACAAGTAAATAGAAAAGGATTGTTGATATCTATCCCAAAATTAACAAATACATGTAAAAACAAAGACAACAATTACATAAAATTAAAAATACATTAATTATACATTAAATATAATATAAATTAAAAGAAAAAGTATAAAAGTTCTTTGAAAGAATTTGTTTCCAAAGAACCACTTTTCTTTGATGTGTTTTGTTAATTGTTCTGACATAAAATATTGTAATTAACAATGCTACAGTGCATTATTTTAAAATATTTCCTTTTCCTAAGTTGAAAATAACTTGTAACTGGTAAGTCTTAACCCTATATATTTTACCAATATTTACAAAAAAAAAAAAAAGTAAATAATTGAATAAATAATATCTGCTAAATCACATGCTTGCTAAGTGTGCAAAAAGTCATCCACTTAACTGTCACTCATTGTTGTCACATACTCATATTTTTTTTTAACTTATTGCATCATTCTGTTTTATTTATCAAATAATAACAATTATATAAATTCACCAAGTTGTGACATTGAACCAAACAAAATAAGAAGAAGAAAACATGATTTCGACAAATAAATAAAAAAATTATATAAATGCTAAAATAAACATGAAAAAATTAACTAGAAAATAATTTTAATATCAATGATAGGCTATCTAATAACACAAATTTGAGAATCAATCACTGAGCTCTTATTCACTGTAGAGAACTATACCTTTTTTAAAACAAAAGAAATGGTTCCTTATATGGTAAAAATCTGATCAATTGATCTAATACGATTCTGAAATTCTGTCTCATTCATTCAATTACTATTTAGATAATGCTATGCAAAGATTCATTTTACTACTTTTTTTCCTAACTTGTAAATTATTTAATAATATTTTATACTGTATATAAATGTTACTTTAATTATTATATAAAATGGATTTATACACTGTACAATTTAAAAAATGAAGCAAATAAAGCAAAATGATAATGACACCATGTTTAGTTTTGATCTCATATTGAAATGGTGAAAAGTAATGCTGTTTACATAAACAAGGTAGAATATTGCACTATTAAGCTAATGCTATCATTTCAAATATACAGTAGACCCCCTATAACGCTTAGATACGTTCCACGCTAATCGAATTTTACGTTATAGGAATGATTAAATACATGATCCAATCGCAGTCCGATAGGTGGGAACTTTACAGACTAAGGCTGTTCGAAAGATTTTCTTCTATAAAATTAACCGATTCTAGACTAATTCGACTCAACATTTCCAAAATACGTATAATTTTTTGGGAATAATCTGTATAAACTATGCTATAAACAAAAAATTATAGGATTACTTACCGAGTGTGTACCGTTCGACTACGCCGTTGCTTAAAGCTGGTTTTCATCGCGGAACAGCACATTAAACGGCGGCCGCGATTTCTAATAACGAATTTTTCGCATAAAAATAACTTGACCTTTGGAGACATCATTAATATAAATAATTTTTATGGCCGTTGAATAAGAAGTGTTTCTTTCACAAGAAATGTATAAAATTAGTGCTGTATTAGACTTACGGTACCTAATTTACATACTGTGCAGACGATAATAAACTCAACTTACTAGCCTAAAATCTCCGTAGCGTGTTGCCAGGCGGCAGAAAGCATATATATAATTATAATAAAGTTACAATAAATTAAGTTAATATATAATTATATATACAGTACCTAATTTATATATAATTAATATATAATTATATGTACAGTACCTAATTTATATATAATTTATATATAATACTAAACAGACGATAGCAAACTCAATTTAGCCGCTCCGTAGCGTGGCGCAGGGTCGGAGGTAAGTAGTTCGGCTGCTCATCCACTATTGGTCCAGACTCTATCAATCTTGTCGCAAAACGACGTTATAGGAGGTACTTTATACGAAAGTTTCTACAATTTTTTCGCTACGTTATAGGAATTGTCGTTATAGGAACGTACGTTATAGGGGGGTGGACTGTATATAATTACTAGCAGTTCCTGGCCACACATTGCTGTGGCTCAAAATGTATCTATTATAAACGTATAACACTCCTCTTGGGGGAAGGGAATTTTGAAAAATCTTTTCTTACAAGTTAGTGTACATTCTCTTGACATACCCTATTAAAACGCAATCAAAAATGCAAAAAACTGCATCTAAAATAGAATAATATAAGACCAGTTCTTCACAGTAAGTCTTAATTTTGTCCCTAACTTTGACATCTATATAATATAAAAACATGCACGTATTTGAATGCAACATTGTGTCAAAATTCCAAAGCAATCGGTTAAGAACTTTCAGAGATTTAAGATTTTGAACAAACAAACATATACATTTTTATTTATATACATTTCAGTCATAAAAATTCACTTTCCAGAAATGAAAAGAGTAAGAGTATTACAATTATCAAGTCACATGTCTTAATCATTTCACCTGTATTCAAAATAAATTCCCCATTATTTTTAATGACCTTATTAAATTCATTTTGCAATTAATTTGATAGAAGATATCCTGCATGCTATGTGTATTGTGGATATAGAACCATATGAAGCTAACTCTAAATTTTGCAGTTTTTTAATAACAGAGTATTCCTATTACATTCAACACATTCTATTTGGAATCTTAAGCAGATATATAAAATTCCAAACAGTTATAAAAAATAGCAAATGTTTGGTTGTCAAAGGTTGATTCAATTAAATCCCATTTTCTGAAAATTACTGTTTCATAGTTAGTTGCTTACAGTTATATACACACGATACAGATAAATACAAATCAATATAAAAATCTTTTGAAAGTTTAAAACTTTCAAAAGATTTTTACATTGATTTGTATTTATTTATGAAATTAATTTGTTTTGAGTTTTCATTTTTGTTTTGCTTTTTAATATTTAGAAATATTGAGCCACACATCATTTATAATCATAAAATGAAATATTCAAAAATCATCTTTTAAATTTTTTAAAATTAAATAAAATTTAAATGGAAATATTCTTTTATCTTTTGCAAATATTTTAATGTAAAAATGTGTGTTACAGAATAAGTATTCATATTAAAATTGAGAAAATCAACAATTCTTACTGCATTTATAATAGATGGGATATATGATCATAACAAACATGGTGTAAAAATATTTTCAAATGATAGAACTAAAAATTTTTCTTTTAAATTCTATCTTTTTATAGAATTGGACTGTAATATGCTTTATCAATCATAGTTGACATCAAAGTTGGGAAAAATATTTTGTGAAAGAGGAAATAGAGTTCATGCTCTAAATAATCCAAAACTAATCAGTTTCTACATGAAAAATTTAGTATACAGTAGTTACCTGAACTGTTGATACCAATGTTAGATGCTAAGAAATTTTAATCATTTAAATAATTTTAAACAAAATATAAAACCAAACAGCAGATTATTAAGTTTCTCTTTCTGTATCTTATATTCAATTTGATAGAGTGGCTAAAATATGTGTGGATTATTTTCCATAAAATACATGCATGTTCTTTTATATGCTTTTTATTAAAAATTTCCAAAAATAATATATTGATAAATTCCGGTATTGCAAAATTATTGTTTTGAAATATTGCAAAANAAATTAACAAGAACATACAGCATAAATATCATTATTGAAAATATGAGGTAATTACACTATAATAAATAAAATTAATTATAAACAAATTGTGATTAATGTAAATTATTATAACAGAAATAATAAAATTTTAAAACTTGAAAAAATTAAAGGATATAATAATAAAAATGATTAAAAATTCTTTTACTTAAACTTGTATCTAAAATATTGTTAACAGAATATGTTTAAGTGATAAAAATATAATTATACATTCAACATTTTGTTATCCCATATAATAATATATATAAAATATATTGTGGCATTCTGCCATGTTGTATATATATATATTTATAATAATTTTGTATAGTTTTCTTTCTTTGTTTCTTTGTCTATCCTTTCCAGAATGTTCTTTCTTTAACTCTTTCACCTTGGGTGGTGATGACTAATTCTGAGAAAAAAAGAAAGGAATGACACCCTGAGGGCTAAATTGGGAGAATGAGAGTCATTCTTGGTGGGGACTTTGATAGGACTGGACCGACAAATTGTGC